GTGTGTGTGAGAGAAAAAGAGAGAGAGAGAGAGAGAGAGAGAGAGAGAGAGAGAGAGAGAGAGAGAGAGAGAGAGAGAGAGAGAGCTTGTGCGTGTGTGTCGCAGGGATAATGCATTCCCCAGATACTCTGAAAGCAATACCTGCTTGCCCTGGTGTGAGGAGGATGCATTTGCGTTTGGGCGTGGCTCGATACTATTGGATTGTGTTCCCCAGAAATCGTAAATGCACATCCCCTTTACCTTCTTCGCCCAAACGCAACGCACCCTCATCATGATTCATGATTGTATAGATTCACGATGACCGTGAATCGTGTTGTGCTCGGTGGAAGACAGTGGGAACCCTGGACCAGGAAGCCTGCGACAGCCAATCTTGCCAGGTGGCATGTGCACGTCGGACTCGGTCGGAGTGATGGACGGCACAGTCCCACCCAAGTGTGCGGGTGCTCAAGTGTCCGAGTGCCTACTCACACTCGCCCTATCTGAAATGTACTTTGCCGTTCGGAAGGCCGGATCTGAATGTATCTGACGGCAATTACGTACACAAACAGGTAAAAATGTCGTAGTGTGAGCGTGCCCCGGGGCTAGGTCCCACTTGCACAGATTAAGAGATACTGACCGTAGATAGCAAAGATCAACGGCCCAGATCTCCTAATTTGCTTAAGTGGGACCTTGCCCCCGAGTAATGCATAGACAGCGGCACACAGACAAGCGTACCTTTTTGTTTCTTTTTTCGTTTCTAATACTTTTCGCAAGTTCAGTGTTTCCCATTTACTTCGCATACAGTAGTTTTCTTTTTGGGGTAACTTCGGCGCAGTCACGAAAACAGTTCGTAATTGCACTTCAGGCAATCCTGCGAATACAACACAGCCCCACGCGACCCCACCGGACCCAAGACGTAGGTCATATACATTCAGCATTACCGGGCCTTTTGCCTCAAGTGCAATTACAAACTCAAACCCTGACTGCGCCGTAGTTTTCTCTTTCTTTTTTTCTTTTTTTTTTCCTGTGTTAGTGCGGAGTAGAAGCGAGGTCCCTGTGGGAAAAAAAAAAAAAAAAAAAAAAAAAAAGATGCATGTAGAGCGTTGTGTAGTCTAGCGAGGCCCCATGTCCCACCAGCCCGGGGCCTCGTCCCACTTACACCGTTGAGGTTGCTCAACGTTGGGTTTTCAACGCCGTGTGGCACAGGACGACGCACGGGATGGGGCGGTCCGCTGTACATAGCGCGGTCGATTTTTGTGATGCTCCGTATTCGCCGAAAAACTTTGTTTTCTTCGACGGGAAATGCGTGGAAAACTGGAATACCTCGTTTAGAACGCCCCCTACCCTTCTACGCTTGCGTTGAGCTAGCTGTAGGGAAAAAAGCAGACAGCTAGCTCAACGCTTCTTTTTTTTTTTTTTTTTTTTTTCCCGATTCGTCATCATTGCAGGATGTCAGAGCCTTAGCGGCCGCCTGCATATACGGGCTGACGGCGCAGCTCCACAGAACTGTTTCACACCGTAAAGGTTTTGAGTTGGGTGCGAGTGCATGGATGTGCCACGAATGACGACCACGTACATTGGTTCGTGCGTTTCATCCCCAGGCCAAAGTCGCTATACCCACAAAACGCATGTCCGGAGAGGCCCAATGTCGGACATGAGTCGGGTCGTAGCTGTGGTCCAGGTGCATGCGAATCTATAGGTCTCTCTCTCTC